AATTGGTGGATCAAGTGGGAACGGGCTGTTAGAGACATTTCAACGGTTGGTGTTAATCCCCTTTCATTCCATTTGTTGCTTGGTTTGGGACAGTTCAACGGTTTGAAAAGAACCGTTTGCCCTTGACCGTCGGTGGGGCTTAGAGTTTTCAAAGCGTTGAACGCTTTCAAAAGCGTTTGTATTTTGACCTCACGCCTTAACAAGACCAGATGAACAAGGATAATGGAATGCTTTTGGCACTGTTCATTTGAATGGTTTATGGTTTATGGCCTAAGACAGAATGACTTGGACTTGCAGGGACTTTTGATGGACTTGACTTCAACATTACATCTCGACCCTGCCGTATTGAAAATGTGAACCTCAGTTTGTATCACAAAAGAATAACTGGGGCATTTTATGCCATTATATTCAGCCTTTCCAATATCTTACACCTTTAATTTTTCAAACTTATTAACTTTCATGCACCTCCACCAACTTCCTTCTTGAGGTTATGTTGAACCTGGAGGCCGTACCCCTGGATGACGAACCCCACTTGTACCCGCTACGCAGCCACAACAAGCAGGTGCCCCTCCCGCTGGTGTCGCCAGTACCCGCCCGGCACCAGATGAAGCACCACTCCCACCGCAACAGCGACACGGGGAGCCGGGAGCAGCTCTCGTCCCCAGCATCAGGCGGGCGGATCACTGACAGCGAGTTCTCTGATTGGGATGATGGTATCGGAGTCGTTACTGGTAAATTTTCTCAGAATTTTGTGAAACTATCTGAGAAACTCAAAGCCTTAACCTTAAACTCACAGGCATGTTCACCAAGGACTCTCCTAAGTCCCTCCAAATCCCAACTGAGCAGGAATTTGGAGGAAGTTTCCTTTTTTGGCATGTTGTGAAGAAATTGAGCTCCATCTAATGTGACCATGTTGTACCTTAGTGATCTTCCATAATCCTCCAAACCATGTTGATGGATTTGAAGGATCTTGGAGGGTAGGAATTCATACAGTTTTCTTACTGTTGCTTTGTAATTCTTCTTTCTGGCCTTTTTGGAGTTCATTGGTGAAAAACAAAAAAATCTGCTTGGTTGGCAAAATTTTCATCTCTCAGCAAATCTGTTTGCCGTGGAGTAAAACTATGTCACTTTCATCGTGGTATCTCCCCATCTCATCATGTTGTCATGACAACATCTTCCTTGTCATCTTTCCACTTCCTCCCGCCCTCCTTTTGTCATCTATTAATCTCTGCATAACATTCTCTTTTAACGTCTGAACCCTGTTGCTGTGCAGGGGCGTCGGTGGTAGGAGTGGGTGATGGGGCCTCTTCGCTCGGTGAGCGTCGTGCGACGCCACCCATGAACGAAGGTGACAGACCAATCCTGGTAGACCCAACCCCTGCTTGACACCTCTCCCCCCCCTTTTCACAGTCCCCCTCCTCGCTCCCTTGTTTTCCACTTTTCCATTTATTCAATTTTTTTTAGAATCCATCTCAAAACACTTTCTCATCAAAGTAGATTAACCCCCCTTTTTCTTGCTAGTTCTGTCCTGTTATCTGTTACCTTTCCCCCCCAGGACAAATAGGGTAATTTTTTATTCTTTTTAAATTTTTCGTTGGGATTGCCTATTCATAAAGTAGCACTTTGCAAATGTTGACAACACTGACAAAGTCAATATTTACTTTCTTCCATTTTGATGTTGACAAATCATAAAACTGTAATATGCAGACATATGTACATCAGGGGAAAGAGTTTGCATGAAAATTCCCTCAAAGCAGGGAGACAAATACACGGAGAGTCTGTCTGATTTCAAGGTTACAGTTTTGTCTGGAATTACCTTGAAATCTTATTCAGTTGTCATAACATTAATTTTATTTCACATGTCAGTTTCAGGATAGTTTCTGAACCATCCAGTTCATGTCAACTAGACACAATTTGCTTATGGTTATGGTTTTAGATTTGACCTTTTGTTTGTGTTGACGTCATAAACCAACTGCGAGGGCTGTTCCTACATACACCTCCTTTGTCCTTGCTGTCCACCTGTGATGGTCGGTACTAAACTCACCCTTTCTGCTTGCTGCTGTCTGACCCGTCAATGCATGGTCAGCAAACCTGTAGTTGCAGCAGAGTTTTTCTTGGCCACAGAATCGCCCTTCACCCTGTGCCAGTCATTAGAAACCATGTCAAAGTTTGCTTTTTACTGATATACTTGACCTCTTACCTCTGGAAGTGAGATGTCTTGGGATTAGTTAAACCCCGTTTGGAAATTGAATGTTCTCCATGAGCCTCTTTTGTACATCATTTGTCTCCCTGATTCCCTTTTGTCCTGTTCTTATCCGGCATTGCATCCCCTATCTAACCGAGCTTGCTTCAGGCTTAGTATGACCAAAAATTCCTGATATTTCTTTCATGTTCATTAGTGCAGTGGTTAAAAAATGTTCATGAAGTGACAAATAGAAGATTCCCTTCCCGCTTGGCCTCATGGAATGGAACATTCCATTTGTCATGTCATGAAATAACTCTCACTATTACACTTTGAAACACCCGACATTTGAGTATTATTGCCCATGTCCTTCTTACTCCTAGACAGTTTGTCCACTGTTATTCTTAGCATATATCCTTACTAATGCATTGTATCTTTCTCCAAGATCCCAGCTGCACCAGTAGAAGTCTATGTACTTTGCAAATTGTGCTCACCTTGAGCAACCGCCATTTGTGGCACAATTTTTTACAAGAAGAGTGTTCCAAATCAGTGTGTCATTGCAAGTAAACCACAGGCACGGCCTTCTTGAGTTTGTCAAATATCTTGTAATCTCACTGAATGGAGTGTTAAACAAATTCTAACTTTGACTTCTATGTTACATTCTTCGGTCGCTTGAATGTTTTACTAGAGGGTCCCGGCACCAGTACGCTATTTACAGTTGGCTGACCCACTAACACCTCTGATTATTTCAGATTTGAGAGGGCATTTGTATACCACTGTGGCCGAACATTATGGCTGTGGCTAGAAGTAATATTTTTGCCCAGTGGCAGCAGAACGATTTTCAAAGTGGGGGAGGCAGTTGTAAGACCATCAGGCATCAGCCATTAACAGATCAGTCCCTCAAGCTTTGCCCTATAATATGACCTGCGAAGGGTGCCCCCCCCCTCAAAAAATGGGGGCCACCTGCTTCCCCCACTTGTCTGTGGACTGTACTGACTAGCAGCCATAGCTACTTCCAGTAGGTACCTATGTTACTTCTGGCAGTAGCCGGTTGATTTGGACATACATGTAGCTGTAGCTTAAGGCTTGCCCGGAATCTTGTGACACTTTCGCAGTGCATTGATGTTGGGTTTTTTCAAAGTTAATAGCCCAAACATGACACAAATATCAGGATACCAGACCAATAATTTGATGGGAGATTTTGAGATGTTTAATTGGTGACAGCCAACACCCTGGTCCCGTGTGACTAGTGCAGTATTATTTGCATTGCACATAGCAGTCCAAATGTGACGCAAACAGTAGAAAAGGACCAGTATGTTAGCCGCAACCAAGTTTCTCAGAAGTCTCCCATTACAGTTGAGCTAACTTGCAAATGATTTGCCGCTAATATGCTAAGATAATTCCATGGACCAGTTTACTTCAACAGACTGCTAATCAGTACCTTGGATGTCTTAGCAATGCCAGAGCCTTTTCACATTCTTTCCTTGACCATTGTCCAGGTTCATCAGTTGTTGGGATTGGGGATGGGGCCAGCGTCTCCTCCCTGGGCAGCAGCTGTAGTCCACCCCCAGCCAGTGAGGATGACAGGCCACCCAACGAGCAGGAATACCCCAGGTCACCCACCGCCCAGCGGCGGTCGGGAATCGGTGAGACGGCCAGATTGTTTACGGCCCAATGACCAGTGTTACGGAATTGTTTCAAGCAGAAAACATTTACTGTACACATTTTGCTAAGAACCATGCAGTCACCAAAAATACACAGTGCATGGAATTTTCATTGCTAACCCTCTTCTGCTTGGCACATATTTTCTGTGCTTGGCAGTTTCATGAGATTGACCTTGGTTGCCTTACAAACCATAGAGTTCAGCTTTTCAATCACCTTTTTGTGCTTACAGTGCTGTGTCACTGTAATTCTGAAAGTAACTGACTTCTTGAATCAGTCAGTAGTAATGTTGAAGGTTTTCAGTCTGTAGTTGAAAAATCCCCTTAACCCCTGAATACGAAATTTTGCAAGGGAATTTGTTTTTTGCTAAATGTAATTCTCTGTCTTACAGTGATACCACCTCAACAAGATGAGCTTTCTTCTCACACGCGAGAGCGCCGTGGTTCTGCTAGCACCCTTGCTGTCCCAGAGAGGGCTCCCCGGAGCCGGCCCCGCAGCCCTTCCCCGACCCGACGGGAACGCATGAGCACGGAGCCTGTAGATGTCTACCGCAAACACCAGGAGGCAACGTCCCGTTTTGCCCACTACCAGGATGACACGGATGGGCAAAGCCGACAGTCACCAACTGCAATGAGATCACAGAGAGAGCGGGACCGGGGAGGCTGGGAGTACGAGCGGAGTAGGGACTTGCGAGACCGGGACCTACGGGATCAGGATCTGCGGGAACATGAGCTGAGGGAGCTTGATTTGAGGGAGCGTGATCTGAGGAGCCGTGAGTCAAGGGAACGTGAACTGAGAGACCTCCCGCCACATGAGCTGGACCTGCCGAGCCGCGGCCTGAGTCCTCGTGAACCACACGACCAGGAGCTCCTCGACCGGGAAGGGCGTGATCCTCGTGACCACCGGACCCACCGTGCCCTGTCCCCACCCACCCGGTATGACTACGAGCGGATGAGCGGGCGGCGGTCACGCTCGCCAAGTCGGCGGGCCGACCTGCAGCACGGCGACCCCCATCGCCGGACCCAGTCTGAGAACCGGGGCGAGATGGACTATGAGAGGCAGTACCGGTCACACGCCCGCACGATAACGTCCAACATTGACGCTTCCAGCCTACCAAACTCACCAGTCCACGGGGGTAGAGGGAGTCCTGTATCAACGCCTTCCACACCACGCAAACACAGACAGCTGCCGCAGGTCCCTGCACATCTCAAATCAGATAAAGGTAAGTCTGATTGAACACAGTTTGACATGTCTTTGTCCAGTATTTCAATCCTGCGTCACATTAACTCATCTGAGGCAGGTTTTAGGATAACCGTTTGTCAACCACTGGCTGATATTATTGAAGCAAAACATATCCTTGGTACCAGGCAAATTTGTTCAGTGGTTTACAAATTGTTTGTCTCTTGAATTTTTCCATAGTGACCATTTTAGTTGGTATTACTAAAGAGTTACAAGCTCTTGTATATGTTGGATGCTTTCCTGTCCCATATGTAGAACTCTTCCATTTTGCCATTTGATGCACACTGTTCCCCCTTTGTATGATCTTATTCCACAAAGTTGGCCGTAATTCTGATTTCACGTACGTTCTTGCTTGGAATCTTCCTGGATCTTCCACTATACAGGAAGCCAGTGGCATATTCATTCTACTTACATTTCTAATGGATGCCAAGGCCCTTGTGAATTTACCTGTCTTTTACCCTCCCCAACCCTACAAAATCCCCTGAAACCTCCAGATCATAAAACATCTTGAATAAAATGTACTTATGCACCAAGTCTAGAGTCTTACATCATTATTTTTATTTTGTCCTTTGTCCTCAAATTTCAAAGATGACTAAGTTGAATGGTCCTAAATTTTCAGCCTCTGCCATCATCATCAAGCTGTTGGCCTTTCCTCTCTGCTAGGGTTCCTCCTTCACCCTTGACCTCTTTTGTTTCCAGGGACAGCCGAAATTGAGGAAAGAGCCCGCCAGATGAAGCTCAAGATGAAGATCAATCAGTACAAGCAGGCAGCAGCCACTGCCAACACCCTTTCTCCCCATGGCGCTGTTGCCTCAACCTCTGCAGGGGGCACTCCCATCCTGGATGCCCCGCCACACCCTCGCCGCAAGCAGAGCCCGGACAACATCTCCATCAAGTCTTCAGACAGCAACGTGTCCAGCACCAGCGACGTGTCAGCCATCACCCAGGCCAGTACGGCCAGCGCCTTCTCCACGCAATCTGAGCGCCGGCCCACCAGAAAACTCAGGTGAGTGCTAGTGAGTGTTGAGGCTGAATACTTCACAAGTGATAGGTACTTGTAAAGTACTCAAGTAATTAACAATTCTTAAGAACTTGAGCACTCAAGTATAGGTACTCAAGTACTATACAAATACTTCACTAAGTACTCGGTTGCCATGTGAAAGTAAAACATGTCTCAAGTACTCACAAGTCTTCACAAGTACCATACATCACATGTCCAGTCCAATTGAAAGTCCTTTTGTTTGTGTAAAACTGTAATAGATATTCTTTTGCTGTTCACAAGTACTTGTGGCAGTCCTTGTGACAACTAGTAAAAAGTACTTGTGAAGTACTTAAGTTTTGGAGTACAAAGCACAGAGTTTGCTGTTGATTGTGAGACTCAGTGATCAGGATTGATGTGTACTGAGCCTTTGTTTGAGTGACACTCTTAGTGTCCAAAGAGTGTAGCCCATAATAGTGTCTCAGAAACAGATCTTGCACCAACGTCATGGATTTCCTCAGCATATAGATTTGCAGAACACCACAAACAGCATGCCTTATACCAAAACCATGGCATCTATCAAAATGCTGTCTTCATTGCTTATAGTCTTAGCAAAAGATGACCCAGAGACCAGTGTGTACTATTAGCAAAACAGAAATGTGGCATTCTGGTTGATTATCTGCTTTTTCCTGGGGCACAGTAGAATGCTGTTGCAGTCTTGGATATGCAACAAAATGTAATTGAGATGAATTTGAAGGACTGGAACGAAATTTGGCCCGGTCAATTCGAGAAGGCCAAAATCACCTCCTTCAGTCTGGCTTTGGCATTGGTTGAAATTTCTTTATCTTGATGCAGAGAGGTGTGGTATAAAAATGGAATATGCCGTATGGAGTGCAGTGTGTCTTCAAACCCCACCAACTCTTGGCACCATTACTAATGCTTCGCCCAAAATCATTTCTACATCTCTATCCACTTACGCACACAATTCTCCTAAGCAAATGCTTAACCATGTTTCTGAAAATAACACCATAAGATTGCAGAATGCCAAACATGTTTACATTCTTGCTAACAGGTAGCTCTTTCTGGGGTAACAGAAACACTAACAAAATACTTGGTACCTTTTTTTCGTGCTTTAAACGTCAACAAGTTTCCTTTTGATACCATGTCCCCTAAAGCCTTGATGTTTATTTGTACCTTGCTTATTTAAGTCAGACTTGCCTGTTGGATGTCATAGATTTAAATTCTAAACAGTAGAGATAAATGTAACCGCCCCCACAGAGATGCCAGTGTCTGTACCTTTAAAATAACTTGTGAAGTTAAGTGTCCATTGGGTAAAATGCTGTAACTTGACTAGAGTCAGACAAAAATTCCAT